TTGTGTCATAAATAACACTATGGGAAATTTGTAATTTTCATCACTTCTCCAAGTTCGACATCAATGATTAGGTAAGAGAAGAAACTATGCCCTTTTCTGTCGTTGGATGTTTCTCATTCACATAATGTTCCTACACCTTCTTAGAGTGAAAATGCTTCAGTTCTTTACAATGTCTAACAGCTCTAATTGATACCATTCTTGAGCACAGTCTGGCAGTTCAGTTCGCAGGGATGATGAATAAATGGCAAACAACTTAATGGAATTTGTGTCATCATTTTAATATTGCTAAATGTCATAGCTTTGTCAATTTTTTTTTTCAATTGCAAAGTTATTGTCGCGTTGCTGGCTGAACCAAAATTCTTCTTCGTGTTGCTTTCAAACCATAGCAGATTATTTGATCTTGAAGTGAGAGACTGAAAAGGTTATACATGTTCAGGTGGTAAGATATACTCTAAAAGAAGGTGTAGATTAGTGCATGGGGCTTCGTCCAGTGCAAGATTTAGGGATACAAGTAACCTTATCAGTAGAGAGGTTGTTTCCATAATCCAAACCCTGTTCACTTAGGTTACAATGGAGTGATTTTAACTGTGGAAACAAGACTGGCCCTCTAATTGTATACTCAGGTGTGACTTGAGCTTATTGGAAGACGGAGGTTCTCATTTCTAAGAGTATGAGTCAGTTTTATTGGTTATATTTTGCATAAGTATCTATTGTTGAAGTGATATTTTTTGATGATAAGCTGATCACGCTAGGCTCCAAAGGGTACATGGAACCTGCTAGCATTCTTATACAGGGACTGCCTAATGTATGATGTTATTTGATTGACCAGAATACAGGAATTGTCCATGTTCTTGTGTTTCATACTGTGTATTTTTTTTTTTTCCCTTCATCCTCTGGCTTTGTCGAATCCTATGCAATGTTAGCTGACTTCATTAATGTCTATTTTTATATGCAGTTGATATTATCTCAGCTATTGAATTTGATAAATCCGGAGACCATCTGGCCACTGGCGATCGAGGAGGGCGTGTTGTTCTATTTGAAAGGATTGATGTTAGGAGTGTACGTCAGTTGCCTTATCTTTAAGCTAGAGCATGTTTTGTCTATTTGTGTTCCTTTGTTTTTCATATTTTCTATGTGTTGAATCTGTAGCATGGCTCCCGAAAAGACCTGGAGAAGCAAGATTATCCAACTATTAGACACCCTGAGTTTCGCTACAAAACAGAGTTTCAAAGCCATGAACCTGAGGTGCTTTATTCTCAATGACTACTATCTGAAACATGATCCTGTAATCTTAATAGAACATTGATAAAGATTTTTCATGTTCACATTTCAGTTTGACTATCTTAAAAGCTTGGAGATAGAGGAGAAGATTAATAAGATTAAATGGTGCCAAACAGCCAATGGTGCACTCTTTCTTCTTTCTACTAATGACAAGACAATCAAGTACTGGAAGGTAGATATTAATCACTTTCGAACCGATGTTGTAATCTTTCTTTATTATTCTTATCACTAATGTTTCCCTTCTTTTTGTAAATTTGTGTTCATATTCTGAGTTATGTGGGATGTTACTATTTCAAGTCAAATATTACATGTACTTGGTAAAATTCTGACTGTATCCAAAAAATCTGTTCCTTTGATTCTTGCTATTCTAGAGGAAGTTCTATATATGTCCATTTCTATTTCTTCTATTAGTTTCTCAGTTATCTCATTGTACCATTTCTGGCTTCTGCTATTGACCTTTATTTCCAGAGTGATATCCTAGGATAGCATACGCTAGCCATGGTGAACCAAGCCAGACAGCAAGTGACTTGTTAGCATTCCATTGAAATTCTGAGCAATGTTAATATCTATCAAGTTTTGTGAGTTCACTTTATTGTTATTGATTTTGGCATCATACCTCTTGGCTTTTTGACGAAGGTGCATATATACTTTGTGTTTTACTTTAATGGTTTGCAAATCCACCATCATGAAAACCTGCATGACTGGATATTGTTTATGGCTGTACTGTAGATTGTTTTGGAAATATATACCGTTTATGGCTGTTGAAGAATGTAGGTTGTCTTTACAGGGGTGTTTAGTTTATACTTTTTTTTTTGTTAAATCTCTATTAGTACAATCATATTTAAATTCATTGCAACTTGCTAATATTTTTATATATGCCTAGTGTGAAACTAACCTCTGGTAGAGTTGATGTCCTTTCATTAGTGATGCTTTTGTGCTTTTTCCCTGATTCACTAATACTTTGTTTCTAAACTTCTGGCTAGGTTCTTATATATCTGTTGTTTATGTTTCATTCTTTTCTTGCAACAATATTTTCCTGACTTCTTTGTATTCATTACTTGTTGTGTCTTCCCTAAACACAAGAAACATATTTTAGAGAGAAGATATATCACAATATTTGTGTTCTAAAACCATTCTGTTCATATAAATGTAGGATATCAAAAGCATTAGTTTGACTGTTATATAGAAAAATACATACACATAAAATATAAAAATTATAAAATCTCTGCTTTCAGTTAAAAAAAGGTACTAGTCTTGAACATCTACTGAATTACAAGAGATTTTTCAATAAAAAGAACTTGATAT